ACCTCGATATCTCAAAAATTTTCCGACCGATTTTTTTGAAACTTTGTCACAATAACCTTCAATCAATTCCCTACAGGTACCCAAAAATTGGCGCGCCTGCGGCGCGCCGTTTTTATGCTATGGCCCGGCGAAAAAAGTGGGGGCGTTTAACGCCCCCCCCCCCCCCCAGCAACTCGCGGGTTAAATGACGCACGCTCACTAAATGTAGAAACAGTCTCATTTGCATACTGTTAAACAATGACACTAGGCCTATGGAAACTAAACGTCACTAATTACGGGGCACCGTACCTACCACATCTGACGGCACAAAAGTAGAAAAAAGGTTTTGCCCTACTCACTTCATCCAACAGGTCACACATTGCATCCTCGTGTGATTTTTTGATTGGCACAAGCTATGATTTTTCCGAAAACCTAATAAACCGCATGATGCGACTACTTCAAAACGACGTCCCATATGGGGCTCAAATGAACGCCCCCGCTGTCGATGTTTATCGAAGGGCGTGACTGTCTGATTTCAATAGCCTCACGGATTTTCCTTTTCTTCCAGTGGCTTTCGATGGCCAGAGTTGACGTCTCAAACGGGTTTATATCACCTCCACATGCCTCAAAATGTCTGGCGGTGGCAGAAGTCTCACGCCGTCCGTGCTTCATATCGGCGACATGTTCCTTCATACGATCACTTTTTGGCCTTCCGGTCTCCCCGATGTAACTTGCGCCGCACGAGCACCGGATCTGGTAAATTGCCCCCTTTTTCTGTTCTCCCGACACAGGGTCTTTGACTCTTACCAAGTGGTTTTTCAGCAGCTTTGACTTGTGGGCCACAACTCTTTGCGCTCTGAGCAGTTTCGCTATCTTTTCGCTGACGCCTGGTACGTAGGGCACCGCCGCAAATGCTTTTCTTGTACCGGACGGACACCCCGATAACAGCAACGGCTCACAAAGTTCTAGCAGGCCAGATTTTCCATTCTAATCTTTTGGGCGTTGACCTAAGATGACCCGGCCAAGACCTCGAAATTGGGCATCATCGACGTTCTCTCATCACGGACAGCATCCTCGCTTTTCCGCGAAGCTCTACCTCGATTAGGGGCCGAAAGCATACCTTAGCGTTACGTTGGTAAACGTTTTACCTTAGCGACCCGTAAAACACGAATAAGAGCTACAGCGACACAGAAAGCGTATTTGATAGCTTTTTAAAGCTCTTTCGCCAACTTCGCCTCAGATATGACTTCGGGTCTATGGCTGGTGTACCACAGAGGCCAAACAGCTAAACGGACGGATTCTGCCGAAACATTTGAAACATTCTGCCGAAACATCTGCCGAAACTTCGCTCGCTGCGTGTTCTGAGTGTCAGACGTGTTTTACAGTGCTCCCGTGTAATGCGTGTTTTAGCGTAGCTTTCCCACATCTTGACTTAACCTTTATACCAAACGAATCGTGATTTAACGTAGATCATTTTGGTTGTATTTTCATTGGAACTAAATGTGGGACTGGGTAAATATAGGGCTGTAAAAAATCGATTATTTTGACCCAATTGCAAAAAATTTGGGTCAACACCACGACGTTTTTGTTCTTGATTTTCTGTGATAAGTCTCGAGCTAATTCAAAGAAGGCTACTGTAAACTAGCAAAACCAGTAACATATTGTCGCAACACACTTCCATTTTCATTACTACAAATTCAGATTATCGTAATCTTGTGTCAGAGCCTTTTAGAATACCAAGACTCACACCAACCAAAAAATGAAAGGTGCCGGCTATCGGGACACAACCAGTAATGAAGTGTGGAGTATCGCTGGCAAAAAGAAGAAGAAGATAAAGTCACCTGTAATGGCAACTAATGAAGACAGCGATTCCGACGACTCCGTTCATGGATACGATCCCACCAAAAATGAATGGATAACGTCTGAAAAAAGCACGGAACACGCTAATAAACCAGCGACAGCACCACCGCAGCTCTGCGTACCAGAAAGCACAGTTGACGCGTTTCTGGCATTATCCCATGCCAACACAGAGAAAAACATAGAAACTCTTGGATACCTTGCCGGAGATGACAGCCCAGAAACTAACGAGGTGACTCACTTGGTCATCCCGGAACAAATTGGAACGACAGCAACATGCGAGAGCACGAGCGAGGAACTACTAGCACAGACAATGCAGCAAGAGAAGCTAGTGATCAAGGGCTGGATACATACACACCCAATGTATGACACCTTCATGAGCTCGGTCGACATACATACCCAGTGTCATATTCAAAAAGAACGACCAGAAGCTGTTGCTATTGTATGCGCAACAAAGCTGAAGAAAGTTGGAGTGTATCATCTCACAGAAAATGGTCTCCATGAAGTCAGTGACTGCCGACTGCAAGGTTTCCATGAAACCTGTCAATCACCAGGTTTCTATGAGACCATAGAGATCAGGAAAATCGACAAGGAAGTACAGGTAATCGATCTACGATACAAAAACGTGACATCCAGCGAAGCAAAAAGCGGCTCTTATGAGCCGCGAATAGAAGATGATTGCAATGACGATCAAAAAACTTCAGGCAGCCATCAAGCAGGACATGACGACCGATGCCCCAACATCAACAAAACAAAAACGGAGAAGTCGAAATCAGTGAAGCGGAAGGCGGAACTCGTGGCGCAAGTTGCCCAACTTCAAGCTGAAAATCAAGAACTCAGAACACAGCTCGCCCTTCTCATGACAAAAGAAGAAAACCAGACATCTCCGGGAAGCAACCAAAACAACCTAGCCACTAGACACCCGCCTGGACACATGCTGTGTCAGCCATGTGCCGAGTACTTACTCTGGCTGAGTAACCAAAAGCATGACGATTGTAAGGTCACAGCCCAACCGCAAACCACTAGTCGAGACGAAACTAAAGCTTTGAGTGAAGAGGGTGACAAAAGTAAGCAAGAAGTAGAATGCGCTCAGAAGAAATGGGAGGGACAAACCGCCAATGAGAAACCACACAGCGGACAAAAGAAGCTTCGAAGCCATAACCGGGACGATGAACGGAGAGCATCCCACCTTTCAACTGGAAAACTGAGACCACCTGAAGCAAACCTTAAGCGGAAAGAGGGCCCCTCAACTGGCAACGAAAGCCGCTACGTATCAACCCAACTGAGACACGGCATTAATCCTTTTAGATGCAGCATACCAGAGCAGCATCACCTCAGCCAATCAAACGTGAAAAACATGGACTACAGACATGCTCTTAAGTATGGCCAGAGCAAAGACCAACAGCAGTAGCACACAGCTAATCGGGAGAAGCATCATATGCAAAACAACTCACTGTCACATATCCAACAAAGTAGCTCAATGAATCCAACAAACAGGACAGATTCATATCAAGCTCCTCTGTTCCGGCACAGTCGTAATTTCCAGGCTGGACAGACACCAAGATTCGAGAAACCTTGGTACTCACATCGACCCCGCTACTCCAGACAACAACAGCATCTCAAACATGACGGCCCATCTGCAACAGGAATAGGACATGAAAAACATAATGCGTATCAAACCCGTTTAGGGATCCAGAGTCACGCAACAAACAGAGAACATCCAAGTTTTCGAAGCAGGAGTGTGGCAAACAGAAATACCGCAACAATGATCACAGAAAAACGCACATGGAACATGAGCACAGCCCGGCCCACAAATGGAAGAATCCGTAGAAACCAAACAAATGTCATCTGGAATTCAAAATACAGAGTGGAGTCAGAACTCTGCGGTCACCCAAAAAACTTCACCTCATTCAGTACAACTGTCGGGGCTACAAACCCGATGATGAGTTTACGAACTCACTACTAGTCCATGCTGACATCATTCTTCTGAATGAGACATGGACATTGAAAACAAGCCAAGAATCCGACCTGAGAAGAGACGGGTACACAACGATCGCTACAAGCTACGACGCGTACTATGACTATGCATCGATAGATAAAACCGGCGTGAGAGGACACGGTGGAGTTGCCATCCTAGCGAAAGAAGAGTTGAATCTATTATCTATTGGCGATACAGGCAGCACAAGAATAGTAGCCGCAGTCCTTCACGGCTTCCTCCCCGAAATTGTTTGTTTGTTTTGTTGGGTTAGGCCCTTTCGGTCCAATGAGACCATTTCAGAGCCGGGAGGATGATAGGATATAGGGGGAGACATTGGTCTGGGCAGGCACCCTAGTGAGTCGCCGGGGCTGAGCCCGTCCAGAGGACAGGCCACCCAGCCCCAAGGCACTCACTGCACCCGGCTACGGGGTGCGCTCCCTCGGGAGCAGCGGTGCCGCTCCAAGGGAGCAGCCCGCATGAGATAAAGTTGCCTGTCCAGCCCGGAGGGGGGTTGCGGCGTGGAGGAGAAGGATTTCAGTATCCTGAGGATAGAAGCACGGAACGGTGCTCCCCGAAATTCTCATCGTAGCTGTATATTTGCCAACCGGAACAACTACAGAGAAAGTCGTAGAGTACCAAGAAACAATAGACAGGATCAGTGCAATTATAGACAAGCATAGTACAAATAGAATGGTAATAATTGGAGGCGACCTCAATGTTGACCTACGAAAAGACACCCACTACAACAAAAAGTATACCTCAGCCCTCATCGATGATCATAACCTTATGATCCCGGTGGAGACGCAACTGGATGAGCTATGCTCTTTTTATACCCAAGATACGACGCCAGTATCGTTACTTGACTATTTTCTTGTTGACTCTGCTCATGGATACTTAGTTAAAGGGTATGAAATATCTGATAAAAGCGCTTTGAATAGATCGGACCATGAACCGGTTCAATTAGTAATCTCAGCTATTCTACTGAAAACTGCTCATGGGCGAGGTACATCAAAAAATGCAAAGATAAACTGGGAAAAGGCAAGAAGAGAAGGGACTACGGAACAATATCAAAGAAAGCTGGATGATCTCTTAGAAGATATCACCAGTGTTGCAGAATTAAATGAAGCCTTCAATAGAGCATCACAAGTGCTCCCGAAAAAACGCAAAAAAAACAAAGCTAGTAACTGGTGGAATCATGAACTCACAGAGCATAGGAAAAAATGTCTCAAGGCTAAAGCAATGTGGAAATCAGCTCCCGAGTGTGAGAAAAAGAAAGCTGAGCAAATATTTCGAGAACACAAAAGACACTATGTTCCCGCCGTTACGGGTTGTTTAGGTTTTGTTATGCAAGAGCCTGAGTGAGGGCTGCTTTGTCTAAACGACTGCATTTGCTATTTTCAGGTGACCGCCCCAGACGATTTGTAATGATATGTGACGCATGTTGAACGGCATCAGAGCTGTCCTGATCGGGGCGCAGTGAAGTACGGTTTGCTGAACAGTGATTGCCACTTGGACCGATACTGAAGCCGAAATATTATTGCCGGCTATACTGACGGTGCAGTTGGCTGTATCACCATACTGAGTCACTGACATTTGTACTAAAGTCGCCTATCGTCCCGGACGAAGTGAGTAGCCATACACTGACACAAACCGTGTAATGCTTATTCGCTCTGTCATAAATGCATATTCGTTTGTCTCACAGTGCCAGCTGGCTACCTATCTGAAATTGTCTCTTGCGGACTGATTAAGAAATAATTTTCGTTGTTAAATTGTCAGTTTATTGGGTATGTGCAGTTCACGTGTTGTTGTGGCTGTTCCCCCCAGTGACCTTGGGCGAATCGTAAGCTGCATTGAGTTAATTGTCTTTTGTATGTGTTTTCACAGTTTTCTACGGTCATCACGGTCCACACTGATCGCTGCAAGGTGTCACTACTGAATGATCCCAATACATACTGACCGACTAACACTTTGTAGTAAAAACCGGTGGCCAGATCAGTAGAAAATTCCATTAGGACGATTGGCCACAGTAGATAAGTTTCTGAGGTTTTTCATGGGACAGTATAGACCCTACTGATACAATTTTTCTTCAAGGAGACTAACAATATTAACTGAGATATCCTGTATTATAGAATGTCCTAATTTCCTACAGTTGACAAACCTTGACAACTTCATGTCATCTGGTCTTACAAGTAGTGCAGCTTTGTTGTTATCTCTGTCACTCTTTTCTGTCGGAGGCTTCCTGTGCTGGAGTCAGAAGATGGACATGTCAGGCAACAAGTCGATGTCAGGCAGGACCATCACTCCAACTGAAGCTGGGAGAGAGTACCAGACCAGCTTGAAAACAAAGGCGTTCAAACGAGAGCTGCAGGACCTGATGAAGCTCGGCTCGCAGCTTGTGCGGCATGATGATACTTCAGTCGAGACACTCCCGGGCATCATGGAAGAAGATGTTGCTAAGTGGATTCACACCTACATTTCTCTGGGACAGGTGGAACAAGATCTTCAGCATCTTCTCTCCCCAGAAGACTTTCAGAGACACACTGAGACACATAAGAAAACCATGGAGACTGTGAACCAGATTAAGACTGCTCTTGAAGAGTACCAGAGCACACTGAAGAAAACAAGTGTCAAACCACTCTCACGCGCTGGTGTGTCAACAAAATCTGGTTCCTCTAAGTCAGTCAAGTCTGGTCTCCAGCTGATGCGCATCCAGGCGGAACACAACAAGGCCGAGATTCAAGCAAAGCTGAAGATGTTGAACAGAAAACAGGATCTGGATAGACAGCGCCAAGAGCTCGAGTGGAAACAGGAATCATTGGAGCTGGAGACTCAGATGGCCGTTCAAGAAATGCAAGAGGAAGTCGTGGAAAGGTTTGAAAGAGAACTGGATGACAGCGCTGCAGAAGACGGCCCACCAAATGAACCACAAGCACAGCAAGCAGTGTTGGAAGAACAGAGGATGCTGTCTCAGGAGGGTAATGAACAGAGACCCTCAAGTGGAGCAAGACCGATGTTAACCTCACCTGGCATGCCTCCCAGTGAGTCGCACGCAGCAGCAGCGACTGGACCTGCTGGAGGTAGCTTGAATGTGGAGGCACCAAGTTTTCAGCCACGCGGCCAGCCTCCCGATCATGACCAACAAGATCAAGACGACAACACAACAAATGTGTTGAAAGGTCTCTCCGAGCTGCTGGTGGAGCAGAGCAAGCGCGCCCGTCTACCAGCTATCGAGCCAGATGTGTTTTCTGGAGAAGAGGAGAGGTATCATCTGTGGATGAACAGCTTTGAAACATACATCGAGAACAGGACAGCCTGCCCGCAGGAGCGTCTACACTTTCTGTCCAGATACACAAGAGGAGAAGCCAGATCGATGATTGAAAGCCTGCTGCACCTGAATACTACAGATGCATACGACAATGCCAAGAAGAAACTCCATGATAGGTACGGTAACACCTTCATAACTGCCAATGCCTTCCGCAAGCGCATCCATGAGTGGCCCGCAGTTCGACCCGGCGACGGGAAAGCACTGAGACAACTAGCTGACTACCTCGAGAGCTGTAAGACAGCATCAAGACATGTGAGTGGACTGGCCTCACTGGACTCAGTGGATGAGAACAACGTGATTCTCAAAAAACTGCCACGATACATCGTCGACAGGTGGAGACGCGTGGTTGACGTCAGGTTGTACGAGCCACAAGAAGGTTGTTCTCCCGGCTATCCGTCGTTTGCAGAGTTCGCGGACTTCCTCAGCAAGGAAGCAAGAGTGGCGTGCGGCCCGGTATTGGACAGGTCTGACGAAGCTGGTGGAACAAGACGAACGACCAATGCTGGCCAACGCAGGAAGGAGAACGCGCGCACGTTCTTCTCGTCCGTTTCGTCCGATGGGAGGACATCAGCACCACGTCAAGAGTCAGATAATGCACGACAGACAGACAGAACTGCCAGACTCTGCAGGATCTGTTCGGCACTGCATCCTGTAGAATCCTGCCAGACATTCAAGAACATGTCAGTGTCCGAGCGACATGACGCTGTAACACGACTTGGGCTGTGCAGAGGGTGTTTGTGCAGAGGGCACATCTGGAGAGACTGCCGAAGTCGGCGAAGCTGTGACAGATGTGGACGCTCTCATCCGACGTTGCTTCATGACGACGCAAGGGCAGGAACGCGAGGCGCGTCGACAGGACAGAGGATGGCAGCAGCAGTAGGTGACAACAGAAGACAATACAAGTCACACACGAACAGATGTACTCAGACCCAAGCTACGTCCCTGAAGGTTGCGGTTGAAGGTGAAGGAGCTGAACGCAACGCCTCGTTCGTGCCACCATGCTCTCACACCATGATCGTGCCGGTCATTCTGCGCAACGAGCTGGAACCGTCACAACAGCTGACAGTCTATGCTGTGCTAGATCCTCAATCGGATGCCTGTTTCATTCAAGAATCAACGCTCAGACAGGTCTCTGGACAAGGAGAAGACGTGACTCTTCAGCTCAGCACCATAGCGGGCAAGACCAGAGTTGTGACCAAGAGAGTGACAAACCTGTCAGTTCAGGGACTGAATGCACCGGACCGTATCATGTTACCTGCGACGTATTCTCGTGATGAGATACCGGCAGAAAGGTGGCTGATACCGAAGCGAGAAACAGCTCGAAACTGGAAGCATCTGGCTCATCTGGAGGAAGAACTGCCCCCATACTTCCCTGAAGCTGAAATTGGCCTGCTCATAGGTGTGAACTGCGCACGCGCATTGAAGCCGAAAGAGGTGGTTTCAGTTGACAGTGACGATCCCTGGGCAATGAGAACGGAGCTGGGGTGGACCATCGTGGGTATTACGCACGGGCCCAACATCACTTCGACGTGTCACTGTGCGCGCGTAGGGCCAGATGAAGTGTCGGTATGCCACTTTGCGTTCAAGACGCGTGTGCAGGAAGTGAGCCCAATGCAAGTGGCACGCATGCTGGAAGCGGACTTTCTGGATGAAGGCGCTCACAAGAAGGTCTCTCAGGACGATCGGAAGTTCCAGAAGGTGATGAAGGAACAGTTCCACCAGCGGGAGGATGGTCATGTTGAGGGACCACTGCCTCTGAAGGATCCAGAAGTGACATTTCCAGACAACAGGTACCTGGCCATAAAACGTCTACACAGTCTGAAGAGAAGGTTTGCCCGAGATCCTGGTCTGAAGGACGCCTACGAGAACTCCATGAACGAGTCGCTCGCAGCAGGATACACTGAATGTGTCCCAGACGACGACGACGTCAAAGAGGGAAAGACCTGGTACGTTCCCCATCACGCTGTCGTTCATCCGAGAAAGGACAAGATACGTGTAGTTTATGACTGCAGCGCGGAATATCAAGGTGCTTCATTGAACAACGAGCTGCTCCAGGGCCCGGACTACGTGAACAGTCTGGCAGGAATCCTGGTGAGATTTCGGAAAGAAAGAGTGGCTCTGAGCTGCGACATCAAGGCGATGTTTAACCAGGTTGGTGTCAGCAGGAGCACAGGAATCTGTTGAGATTTCTGTGGTGGGAACAGGGCGACACGAGTCGAGAGCCAGCTGAGTTCAGGGTCACCACTCATCTGTTTGGTGCGGTGTCATCGCCTGCGTGCGCGATGTACGCGCTGAACATGATAGCAGAAAAGTATGAACCGACACACGGAAGAGAAGCGTCCGAGTTTGTACGTAGAAACTTCTACGTTGATGACGGCGTCACAAGCGTGGAAAGCTCGGATGCTGCTATACGGCTGGCCCGTGACACTGTCCAGCTGTGTGCAGAAGGCGGTTTCACGCTTCACAAGTTTGTGTCGAACGAACCGTCTGTGCTAAAAGCACTGTCGCCTGGTGCCACTGGGTGCGACCCATCGGTGGAAGTCGGTCGCCAGCACTCAGGTCAGTTCGAGCAGGCCCTGGGTATCAAGTGGGATACGGTGGAAGACACGCTAAGCCTTCACGCTGTGATTCCGGACAAGCCGATGACCAGAAGAGGGATTTTATCATCAGTTTCTTCGCTGTATGATCCACTGGGTCTCGTCTCCCCAGTGATCTTGGAGGGAAAGAGAATCATCAAGCAGTTGTGCTGCGACGGATACAGCTGGGATGAAGCTGTCCCAGAAGAGACGGTGGCCCGTTGGTTGGATTGGAAGAGAGACGTGCTCCTTCTCTCAGAGACACCGATACCAAGATGCTACAAAGCTGGCGGCGGCAAGATGAAGCTGTACGAACTGCATCATTTTTCTGACGCCAGTACCGTCGGATACGGGCAGTGCTCCTATCTCCGTATGAAAGACGAACACGACCTGATTGCGACGTGTCTTGTGATGAGCAAGTCAAAGGTGACTCCCAAGCGATCGACTACAATTCCTCGACTGGAGCTGATGGCGGCCGCTCTCTCCGTGAGAGTTGGATGCTTTCTGCAAGAGGAGCTCGACATCACAGGCATCGAGCACTACTACTGGACGGACAGTCAGGTCGTTCTAGGATATATACACAACGAAACCCGGCGATTTCACGTGTTTGTCGCGAACCGCGTGCAGCAGATCCGACAACACACCACTCCCGATCAGTGGAGATATGTACAGTCAGATGAAAACCCAGCAGATCTGGCCTCCCGTGGACTGCAGGCAGCGGCCATCAAGGACTGTGATCTCTGGTGGCGTGGACCGAAGTTTCTTCAAGCAGGAGAACTTCCGAATGAAGCAGCTCAGATTGAACTCCAAGATGACGACCCGGAGGTCAAGAAGAAAACAGTTCTGACTACGCGCTCCAAACAGGTCGAAGGTTTTCCAAACATGTCTGACCGGCTAGTCGTGTTCTCTAGCTGGTTCAGGGCAAGACGAGCGATCGCGATCTGTATCAGATACGGGAGACGTCTGCTGGAGCGAGTGAGACAAAAACGTCAAAGCAGTGACGCTGAACTTGTTCCATCGTTGACAGAATCACCAGTTGGAGCAGAAGAGATGAAGAGAGCTGAGCTCGTCATACTGAAGAGTGTGCAGCAGCAGGTGTTTGGGGACGAAGTTGCGACTCTGACGATACCTCAGCCCTCAACTGAAGTTCGAGTGAAGAAACGGAGTCATCTGTACCGACTGGATCCCTTCGTTGCAGATGACGGACTCCTGCGCGTCGGAGGAAGGCTGAAGAGGAGTGGACAGCCCTTCGACGTGGTACATCCAGTGATCTTGCCAAAGGTTCATCACGTGACTCGTCTTGTCGTTGCAGCCTACCACGAGAGGACGTGTCACTCAGGAAGGGAGCTGACGCTGAGCGAAATCCGGATGTCTGGATACTGGATTGTGAAAGGAAGATCGGCTGTGGGCCGTCACATCAAGAACTGCATCAAGTGCAGGAGGCTGAGAGGAACGCCTTGCAGTCAGAAAATGGCAGATCTTCCCAGCGAGCGTGTAGACGAAGCGGAGCCATTCACCCACTCAGGTGTTGACTGCTTCGGACCGTTCTTCGTCAGAGAACGGCGCAGTGAAGTCAAACGATGGGGGATCCTATTCACATGTCTAAGTTCACGGGCTATTCATCTAGAGACCCTCAACTCAATGACGGCGGATGCTTTTATCAATGCCTACCGCCGATTCACCTGCCGAAGAGGAAAGGTTCGAGCTCTGTATCACGACCGAGGTACGAACTTCATCGGAGGAAAAGGACATCTAGAAGCTGCTTTGTCTGAGATGGACCACGACAACATCCGACGCACTCTGTTAACCCGCGCGGGGCTGGGGTCTCCAGCCGAACGCGCGGGGCTGGGGGGGGGGGGGTAAATTTTACCCCCCCTGTTATCTCCCGAACTAATGGTCCGATTTGAAAAATTCAAACGCCAATCGAAAGCTCTCATCACGAACTACTAAAAACATGTACTTAATTTAAAGTTTGAGGTCAAGGTCAAGGTCAGGTCAAGGGTTCAAATTGCAAGTTTCTACAGTATCGGCCTTGCACCGTAGTTGCCGAAGAATGGAGTCATGGACTGAGACTGATCGCCCAAAACGTGTTCTTAGGCTACCAAGACAATATTCGTTGCATACAATATCATTCAGAGGTCAAGGTCAAGGTCAGGTCAGGTCAGGTCAGGTCACCAAAAAACAAAATATAGAAAAGGGCATGTGCGACACATGTTTTATGGGTCATTTTACTCATATAATTCAATAGGCACACTCAATAAGTGATATGGACCACCTCTGGATGAATTTCAGGTCGAGGTCAGGTCAAGGTCAGGTCAAATGAGGTCAAATTTTGAAGTTGGTTGTTAAGGCCTAAAAAGGTGTCTATCTGCTGCAGTTTTTCACGGCGAATCGAATGGTGCTATTTTTGTTTCCGTACGAGGTCTAGACTTTCCAAAAAAGTCATTTTTCAAAAATTGTGTGTGTCGTGACGTCATAAAATTTTGAATAACTCCCACATTTTTGAACCGATTCTTCTAAAATTTGGTATGTAGGTGCACATAGACCACTTCTCTGACATATATTCCGGTTTTTTCGATCGACTCAAAATTTTGGATTTTATAATGATTTTCCCAAAAAAGTCAGTTTTTTGAAAAAATTTAGGCCAAAATCCAAAATTTTCAAAAAACCGAGATAGCCATTTGATAGACAAAGTAAAATTACGTATAACCTTTTTTGTTACGTCTTGATTCCTTTAAAAATGAAGATGTTGGCGGTGTTTGAACTTTTGCCGTTTTTGAGGCGAAAATGGCGAACATGACGTCACTAAAACGTCAATTTCTCAAAAATTTTCCGACAGATTTCGCTCAAATTTTCAGGGAACGTGTCAAATTGATGTAAAAAAAGGTACTGAAAGTTTGGCGGCGCTGCGCGCCGCCGTTTTTGAGATATTGCAAAAATTCGCGAGGGGGGGTAAAATTTACCCCCCCAGCCCCGCGCGGGTTAAAGGACAACTGTGATTGGGTACAGTTCAACCCCATCACACCCAAGGCCAGCCACATGGGAGGTGCGTGGGAGCGGCAGATACGCACCGTCCGCTCTGCGCTGAGCAGTCTCCTTCAAGATCTCGGTCAGCAGCTGGATGACGAGCTGCTCAGAACTCTACTGACGGAAGCGGAAGCAGTAGTCAATAGTCGCCCTCTCTCTTGTGTCAGTATGAATGACACTAGTGTAGTTGAGCCGATCACTCCTGACCAGCTGCTCACCTTAAAGTCAAAGGTAGCGCTCCCTCTCCCTGGGAAGTTCTGCCGGCCCGACATCTACGGGAGACAGCGCTGGCGCCGGGTCCAGTACCTCGCCAATCAGTTTTGGCAGCGCTGGCGGAGAGAGTTCCTTCCGTCTCTCCAGGAGCGACGAAAGTGGCATCATCCAGAGCCGAACATCAGTCAGGACGACATCGTCATTGTCGTCGACGAGGACACTCCACGCAACAGGTGGCCGCTCGCACGAGTGGTCGACGCGCACACAGGTGCCGACGGTCTAGTGAGGAGTGTGCGTGTGCGCATTGGCAACAGTGAATATGACAGACCCGTCCACAAACTGATTCTCCTCGTGAAGAGCGGGGATGGAGATTCCGCGACGGGGAGCCGTTGTGCTGAGTAGCGTGATTTGGTCGGAGCGCGACCGATAAAACCGAGACGCTTGTGAGCGCTGATACCCGGTCTGAACTTTGGTGCATTGTGCTCCGCTGTGCGGATGGCAGTACGACGGCGCCCGTGTTTCATATTGCTATGTCAGAAGTGATATTTCGTTACTTTCTCGCTCGACGTGTACGGCGTTACGTGGGCTCGCCTGTGTCTACTGACGAACATTCGGTTGTTCGCGCGTCCCGTCGCAATGTGACGTTGCCGCGCGACGGCGGCCCATAGCCGCCTCAGTGCGTAAGGAAAATTAGGAGAGCTGTGCCTAATTTTGGGGAGCCATGTTCCCGCCGTTACGGGTTGTTTAGGTTTTGTTATGCAAGAGCCTGAGTGAGGGCTGCTTTGTCTAAACGACTGCATTTGCTATTTTCAGGTGACCGCCCCAGACGATTTGTAATGATATGTGACGCATGTTGAACGGCATCAGAGCTGTCCTGATCGGGGCGCAGTGAAGTACGGTTTGCTGAACAGTGATTGCCACTTGGACCGATACTGAAGCCGAAATATTATTGCCGGCTATACTGACGGTGCAGTTGGCTGTATCACCATACTGAGTCACTGACATTTGTACTAAAGTCGCCTATCGTCCCGGACGAAGTGAGTAGCCATACACTGACACAAACCGTGTAATGCTTATTCGCTCTGTCATAAATGCATATTCGTTTGTCTCACAGTGCCAGCTGGCTACCTATCTGAAATTGTCTCTTGCGGACTGATTAAGAAATAATTTTCGTTGTTAAATTGTCAGTTTATTGGGTATGTGCAGTTCACGTGTTGTTGTGGCTGTTCCCCCCAGTGACCTTGGGCGAATCGTAAGCTGCATTGAGTTAATTGTCTTTTGTATGTGTTTTCACAGTTTTCTACGGTCATCACGGTCCACACTGATCGCTGCAAGGTGTCACTACTGAATGATCCCAATACATACTGACCGACTAACACTTTGTAGTAAAAACCGGTGGCCAGATCACACTATATAAACGCACTGAGAGCACATCAATTGACAAGGAAGCAAGCAGAAGACACAGAAAGGGAATTTGAATGTAAAAACTTGTCAAATAAATACTTTTTGGCAATGCGACAGCATAGAACAAGCACATCAATTCCAAGAATCGTGGATGATGGTACAGAGATATTAGAACCTGATGAGATTGCACATAATTTTTTGACTCATTTTGTCCACACAGGTAAACCGATCAAATCCAGTGCCTTCAATGAAAAGTGGAGAGAGGCAGTAGATGCAGCAGTAGAAAACATATGCAATAGATATGAAGCTGATTTTGATAGTCTCGACCAATTGGACCCGATTGACGAAAGCGAGGTTGATGAAGCTATATACCATCTAAAGAATAGAAAAGCTCCAGGATTCGACGAAATAACTGCAGAACATTTGAAAGAAGCAAAAGGAATAGCAAACGCAACAATAGCAGGTATTATGCAAGAAATCATTGATACTGGCAAAATCCCAGATAACTTCAAGTTTGGATTAGTTACCCCGGTCTTTAAAGGACATGGAACCGATCCTTCTAAGACTGATAACTATAGGGACATATCTGTCCTTACCACCCTCTGTAAAGTTTTTTAGATACTGATCGTGAAACGACTTCACCCAAAGATGGTCGAGGCTGGTATCTACTCAGAACTACAGTTTGCGTATCAAAAAAGTAGAGGGACACTCCAAGCAAACTTTGTTCTCCAAGAAGTCATATCAGCTAATAGAGACATTGGGAAAGCGACCTATGTTGCATTTCTCGACGTACGCAAGTGTTTTAACTCTATTTGGCACAACGGGGTAATCTACAAACTCATATGCGCCAACATGCCACCAAGGTTGATCGTCATTTTGCGCAACTTGTATCGAGAGTTTTATGTCAAAGTGGAAGTTGGAGGAACTGTATCCACCGATGGTCGCATAGAGCAAGGGCTCAAACAGGGAGGCGTCTTATCATCGAGCATGCTGATCCTATTTATGGAAGACAAAATACGCATGCTGCTGGAATCACATAAGGGAGCCAAGATAGGGTGTAAACAAGTACCAGTTATCGCTTACGCCGATGATGAAGTACTCATAAGCACAGACCCAAACGAACTCCAAGAAATGCTTGATATCGCTTACAACCATAGTTGCTTGTGGCGTTATAGATATAACGTATCAAAAACCAAAATAATGGTCTTTGGCAGGACAGCTCCGGTACAGTGGACGCTTGGCACTGAATCAATAGAACAAACTGATGAATACACCCACCTAGGAATCATTATGACAACCAGAAGTCCAGCAAAGAGAAGGATAGAAGAATGCATGAAGAAAGCAAGAAGAACATTTTTTGCTAAGTGTAAGAAAGGAATCAACCTCAAAATGGACAATCCGATGTCACACTATACAACGTGGAGAATATATGCTGAACCGGTTCTAATTTACAGCCTAGCAGTTACATCCCTTTTACCAACAGATATCATGTACTCGGAAGGAATGCTCATGCGCATTTACCGTCTCATCCAAGGTTTACCAACCAAAACGCAAAAAATCGTGACATATGTGATGTTGGGTGCACCGACATGCACAAGCCTCGTAATGAGAACCGCACTCCAATTCATAGGTTTCCTTCTGAGAGCTGCGAAGGAACACACTCTAACCAGATATATCATCACCCATGGAGCAGTCAATGCTGATCGAACCACGAGTCTTGTGCGCCAATGGGACACATTGCTCCAACATCTGAACTTACCAAGCCTCTCTATTCTGGCTAATCAAAAAATAGACCAACCGCGGACAGCATGGAACAAGTTAGCATCTGCATCAGTGGATCAAAGTATGACAAAAATCATCAGGAACACAGCAGAGAATATGACAAGTTTGTTCTGGCTTTCGCTACTGCCACAAACCGAAAAGTACGAGGCGCCGAAAACATTTTGGCCGGCAAGCAAGTACAGCGCAATTACCAGACAAGCGACACTAACCAAAATTGTCCTACTAACGGGCCACTCTTTGGTGGCCACAAGCATGGTTAGAAGGCACAAAGAAACTGTTGTCTGTCCATTGTGTCGTAATGCCATTGAAACTCTGGAACACATGCTCTTTGAATGTGACAAACTGAAAGACGATAGAGTAGCTGCTCAAAAAATATACAAAACTATCTTGAACAGAACGCTACCAGCAGCAGAACTTATCATCATCGCCGATAAGCCACAAAGCTTGATCATCCATTATATCTACCAAGCCCGTGTGCGCAAGGAACTCACTGAGAATATAACCAAGAAGAGTAACTGTTAAAGAGTCCTCCCAACTATGATAGGTGTCCAATCGTGCCTGTTAATGTGTATGCCCGATAAATGTAATTTTGCGTTCCGAACGCAAAATGTTTTTCTATGTATCCGGCGCGGCAGCGAAGTTACCAAATGCGGCAGCGGTTTAGCGGGGAGCCGCCGCCAGGGGTCGGGCGGGACCTATGAGCGCTCGGCGGCGGCCGCCGCGGGGAGCGGTCACTTTTTCCTCAAACTTCGTTGGCTTCGGAGATCAACAGATTCACGTGAGTGCCAACGGTTGGTCCGTTGCTGACTTATTGAGGCAGTCTATTGCGTTACTAACGTGTGGGTAAGCATGTTGTTGAGCTTCCTTTGTTGTTTAATGCTGGCTTCGGATGAGTCGGATACCATAAGTCAACCTCTCCTTTTCTTTTGGTAGTGTCCAGCAGGATAAAGTTTGTTATTTTTCAGATATCGAATATCCCGAGTATCTATAATGTTGCCCTGCCGATTGATAAACCGTTTAGGGCGCGGGGACGACCGCACCACCAAGCGAGCCGCCCGGCGCGGGTCAACGGCCGTCCTTGCCCGCGGGCTATTGGCGGTCTCGGCCCCGAGGGGCAACGGGTACGTCCGGTTGGTGCGGGCGTTAGTGCATACGCTAGGCAGGGTAGCCGGCTACCAGCAGGTAGCTGAGGGACACAGACACTGATATGCCAGGAACGCATTCAATATTTAAGTCATGTAATTATAGCGCCTACCACATGCTATCCTGCCCGAGCTTCCTTCTTGGGCCTCTGACGCTCTTGAGTGTCGGGGGTGGCGTTTTGCGCTGCGTGCGTTGTTTCACGTTCTGCGCCACGCCAGCCGGCGGCAATTTGCGTGTTTTCTTCACGCTGTGCACTGTGTGTGCTTGATGCTATATGTACTAGCATGCTCACAGACCTAGGGGGAGGTGCAGGTCGGTTCAATTTAACCGACTCTGCTCTGCCCCGATGTGCCCTTTTCCGCGTTAAGGCGGCGGCGCGTCTGTTCTGGTTCTTTTGTTCAGTGGGAGCTTGCCTTGTTGCAAGCGTGCGATTTCTCTGCATACACCTGGTGCAGCAGAGTTTACTCCGGGGGGAAAAGTGCCACGTTTCAGTGGACACTTGACGGGGTCGGCGTACTTTTTTACCGTCGACTGGTGTCGAGCTGTACTCTAATACGGAGCGAGTTCGCAGTATTGGCGGGTTATGATATGCGTCGTACCCAGCGTCTTCCCCATCCGTGACCTGCCCCAGCTGGGCTAGGTCGCAGGCGAATACCATATACCATGGCCGGTGTCGAGCTGTACTCTCTACGAGAGCGAGCTTGCGGCTAAGCGTTACCTGGGCGTCTGAGGCCACAATATCGCCACTGAACGGCCGTGTCGGCTCCATGCATGTCTTCCGGCGGGGACACTGCCGCGTTTAGAATTAATTATGTACTGTTGCATTTTTCCGTATTGCAACAGACGTTTTTTGTGTCTCTGCCCGAAAGAAGGACAATAGGGCACACACTAGCAGACTGTTCGTGTTGCAGGTGGGCATGCTTCTTGTATTAGGAGACAGTTTCGTTCGGCGCATGGCCGGCCGGCCCAGCGCGTACAACGCGCAGATTACTTTTCTGGGCCGATCTGGCGCCAGAATTCAGGACGAGACGTTCCGGCGCTGGGCCATCCGGGAGGTGGCTTACAAGCGCCCGGCGGCCGTCCTCCTGGTTATTGGAGGCAACGACCTAGCGAGGCCGCAGTTTCGACAGCGTCAGCTCCTCGCCGCCTTCGCCGAGCTCACGGCGGGGGTTATGGCGGCTGGGGCCGGCGTGGTATTTATGCTAGCCATCCCACCGCGCACGGCCTGCCGGCCGCAGGACGCCTCTGTCGGTCAGCACCGGGCTAGGCGCAAGCTGGCCAACCTGGCGCTGCGGCAGCGGTTCCGCGTGGAGCCTGTCCGCTGCCTGCCCGGCCCATACCCGGACGGCTTCCTAGGCCCCGACGGGATCCACCCGTCCGAGGCCGGCTGGCGTTGGCTCACGGAGGTCGTCCGCGGCTGCAGCAAAGCGTAGTGTGGCCAGAGCTAGTCGGGGTGGTGTCACTTTCCTAATATACTTACCCCGGCTAAACATGTGTTTCCTTTTTCTTCATATCCGTCAAGTTGCGGGGCCATGGTCGGCCGTACGATATCTCGCAATTTTTGACTGACTACGACAGGATTTATTCGTCACGACACTAATACGGCATTTGTACATTTTGCATCAGTTATAGGTTGTTATTATTTCGCGATTATAATATCAGTGTCCCTCGCGATATGTAAACGAGACATCGCACTGATGACTGCACGCTGAGTGTTTCATAGGTGACCAAGGCCGGCCACTCCCCCCCCCCCAACACTGCTTCCTCCCCATCTCGCGTGAGCCAACGGCTGCAACACTGGCCGCTTACAAGGTGCCCATGTTCTCTTTCTCTTTCATGCGGAGGCGGGAGCCCGCCATGGACGGGCAAGGCGCAGAGCTGCCCAGACAGATGCGCGGCCGACGGTCGGCCTCGTCCGCACCCAGCGGCACGCTGGCAACATCGACGCGTCGAAGGTCGGCCACAGCAGACGTCACGCCGGCCGCCACAACGCGCAGCAGCCCGCGAGCGTCGCCGCGCGAAAGGCCGGCGACTTCGAGGCGTGGTA